GTCCTCGCTAGCTCCACACTTGGTTACGAATAAAGTTGGTTGTGAAAAGGGATTTGAATGACATGCTAACAACGGTGTCCAATGCAGTCGACTGTGAAACTCGAGGACTTGAGAGAAATTCGTGTATCTGGATAAAATGGCCATGAGAATGGTGGCGACAGAGCTGTCAATGGTAACGTTAAGACATCGGCTGTAGTAGTCAGGACAGCAGTCACCGTGGACAAAGCACAGGTCATCACACATGCACTGGATTAATTCTGGACTTGAGAATTGTAAAATATGGCATCTCCCCTGACACGTGTGTAACATACCTGTAGGACAAATTGGTAAGCCGCTGACGAGTGGTTCAGTTTGCAAAACATTGTGATCAGTGACTAGTAGCATTCTCATGTAAAATAGCGTTGCTACTTTTTTAATGCGCCTTTATGAGATTCCAGACTTTATAGATTAAATTAAGTTCTAAAAAAATGTACGGCCATGAGAATGGTGGCGACAGAGCTGTCAATGGTAACGTTAAGACATCGGCTGTAGTAGTCAGCACAGCAGTCACCGTGGACAAAGCACAGGTCATCACACATGCACTGTTTAAAACCTTTGTCCAATGGTGACAGTGAAGTGTGGCATCGACCCTGACAATTGTTTGACTTGGGACATGTCGGTAGGTCGATTTCGAATGGTTCAAATTTTAAGATGGTCTGATTAACGACAACGGACATTTTTGTGTATATATGACCACACTAATTTACTTTAAAATTAAAAATAGATTAAGAAAATATTATGTTATCTTTAAACTCTATTTAAATATTAATGTTCCTTTTTTTCAAAAAAAAAAATCTGTTAACATTCACTTTCACTCTTGCAATTAATGACTAATGTTCTGAAAAAGTTTGACTATTTTAAAAAATTCGGAACAAGAGTCAAGCGTGAACATTAGGCGCGCGCGCACTTCTGCCTGTGTCATCGTTTGAACCATCAGAGTTAATGTCCTTAATTTAAAACAAGAATCTAGTTTTCGCATCCTTCAACATACCGGTATTTATTTTTCTAAACGTTGTAAGAAGCGTGGAATTTCATTTCCTAAAGAATCGTCTTCTGGGGTTTGTGTCTGATTTTATACACCAGGTGAGTTTTGATCAACTATAGTCAGACAACTAACATAGCAATTAAACATAAACACTAAAAATACGACAAAAAATATTGATATTCATTACAAATGTCAACAATTTTATAAAGTTGCGGTCCTGGGACGGACTCTGGTAAATGTTAGATTTCTCGGGTATCAGAGAGTCGGATACTGATAAAGGTAGGCGTCTTTTGTGTCAATCATCTCCATTCCTGTTTGAAAAAAGTCTTTGTCTGGTTCAGTACATTTTCTCTTATTAATGGACTAGTGAGCCTGGTTTGTCCACACGTATCACTGGACAGAAAGAGGATCTTCCATATTGGCTTTTCTTTTTGTACTATTGCACGTTTAAAAAAAAAATTGTTTTAAGTCTTTGTACTATATGGAAAGAAAATATGTTTTTGAAACATAATCAGACAGGGAGATTTAGTAGAATTGCCAGGAGGGAAGTTCCTGGCGCGCTTCCACACGATCTGGCGCTTCGGCCATGGCCCGTGTGGGGGGGAGTCCCGGGGGGGGGGTATTATGAGTGCAAACTCGACGACCCACCGACACCATCTCGAAAGTGACGTTATTAGTAGAATTACTAAGATTGCCATATCCAATATTTTTAAATATTTAAACTTTTAACAGCTCTCATTTCAAATGTCATATGCGACCGAAGCATTCAAAGTTTTACAATCTGAATATAAAAATCACAACAAACTTATTAAATAGTGAAAAAAAAGTGTAAAATTATTTTCGTTTTACAATTTATCCAAATTTATACCCCCCCCCCCCCCAAAAAAAAAAAAAATATACTCGTTTATCGTGAATTAATAACAAGTATATTTATTACTTTTCGTTGCCACTTGTGTCTTTCCACATTCTTTGCCACTTGTGTCTTTCCACATTCTTTGCCACTTGTGTCTTTCCACATCTTTTGCTACTTGTGTCTTTCCACATTCGTTGCCACTTGTGTCTTTCCACATCTTTGCCACTGGTGTCTTTCCACATTCTTTGCCACTTGTGTCTTTACACATATTTTGCCACTTGTGTCTTTCCACATCGTTTTGCCACTTGTTTCTTTCCACATCTTTTTGCCACTTGTGTCTTTCCACATCTTTTGCCACTTGTGTCCTTACACATCTTTTGCCACTTGTGTCTTTCCACATCTTTTGCCACTTGTGTCCTTACACATCTTTTGACACTTGTATCCTTACATATCTTTTGCCGCTTGTGTCTTTCAATATCTTTTACCACTTTTGCAATTTTATATATTTTAACATTTGTGTCCTTCCACATCTTTTGCCACTTGTGTCCTTCCACATCTTTTGCCACTTGTGTCCGTCCACATATTTTCCCTCTGTATAAAGGTGAAAATTACCTGAAAGTAAAGTATCCAGAAAAATTCACATGCCGCCCCCATGACCAGGTTATACATTCACACATTTTAACACTGTGCGGTGGGGAAAATGGTTCCATGTGATCGTTTATTGTTTCGTATCTATCGAAATGCAAACATCAGGTGATTCGTTTAAGAAATACCTAATGTTTAATTGTAACCGAATGAAGTTGCTTGAATTTCCGTTAAAATGTTTAGGGCACACCACAAAATATGAATTCTTTGTGTGTTGAGAAATCTCTTATATTAAAAGCCCAACTGACACAATGATCACGAGATCTCAGGAACAACACGCCCTATAAAGTTAAAATAGTGCGTGGTGATAGCTCTTATACTCTAAGAGTACGCTGACACGTTTGTTCAACTGCAGCCAATTATTTTCTTACCAAGGCATTTATATTAGTTGTTTAAAAAAAAAAAAAGACAAATTATTTTTAGATTAAGGCAAATTATCACAGACTTCAAGGCTCGTTCAGCACTCCACGCTACATCCACATTTAATACAATACTTCACCGTACATCGACATTCATACAACACTTGCTTTGTACATAAACTTTCAACCAACACTTGCATTGTACGTCAACAAAAGTTCTACTGTACATAGAAACTCATTCAACACCTCTTACCGTACATAGACAACGACGATCCACTGACTTCACCTGCTCAACTAGGAGCCAAAGCCTGTCTCAACTTGGCGCAAAAGCCTGGCTCAACTGGGAGCCAAGGCCTGTCTCAACTGGGAGCAAAAGCCTGGCTCAAATGGGAGCCGATGCCTGGCTCAACTGGGAGCCAAGGTCTGGCTCAATTGGTAGCAAAAGCCTTGCTCAAATGGGAGCCGAAGCCTGGCTCAACTGGGAGCCGAAGCCTGGCTCAGCTGTGAGCAAAAGCCTGGCTCAACTGGGAGCAAAAGCCTGGCTCAACTGGGAGCCAAAGCCTGGCGCAATTGGGAGCAAAAGCCTGGCTCAACTAGGAGCCAGATCACTATACGATATATTTAAAAAAAATAATGCGTTCAAAAAGAAATTTGATAGACAATTTTAACGTTTGAACTGAACAAGGACGCTACCGAAATTCTGTTCAATTTCTGATGATCAATTTTCCGTTGACGGAATTTTTTTTCTATCAAATTTCCGGATTCGCTACAGCAACAAGTCCTGACCGAGCTACAGCGACCCCTGGTGAAAAATGGCAAGAAGTAGGTAAAGCCTCATGCGAACCAAGCACTGTCTGACCAGAAGCTCTCAAACTACACACGACTCACTTAGGGATCCTTACTGCCGACTCTGTAACCTGACCGCTTAAACCTAATCGCAGAGTAGCTTCGATAGAGAAGGTGGATTTGACAGGTCAGGCCCGGAAACCTGTGTTACTCGTTAAATCTATTGTGACGCTTACTTCACGAGGCTGGCCTCCGTGATGTTCTGGCCCAGGTTGTTAGAGTTCAACCTTACATGGGAATTTCAACGGCTCCATAGTTCTAGAAATATATAGTGTTTCGTTATTTTAAGTAGTATGATGAGGATTTGGATGTCATGCGCAGAGCGAGAGCGAGAGAGAAAAGGGAGTGGGGGTGGGGGTGGGGGTGGGGGAGTTGGGAAGATTCTCAAATGGCGAATATGCTCTTGCGTCGTACCTAGCATTGGGCTAAGATTATATCACATCTGATCGGAACAGCTACCTTGCATCTGTTTGGACTATAAGGTGTATGAAGTATATGATTGTCTTGACAGTTATTTTATTCCAATTTGGATACCCGTTTTATATCGTGAAGCTTCAATGTGAATTTAACGTAGATGGTGATGAAGAGATACGCTGCACTGCCCCGTGTGCTTTATTAGCAGTTCTTTATATTCATAGTGAGTAAAGTTTTGGACCGTAATCCAAGCCCCAACAGTAACACTGGTTTCACGTCAGTTATGAGTAGCACAAGAGCGGTGTGACAAGAAAGAAGCATCGGATTGGGGACGAGGGTGAAAGAAAAAAAAAAATGATCAGGGAGAAAACAATTAAAAGACGCCATAAAAATCGTCTAACATTCCAAAATTTATTTTTGAAAACAAAAATTATGTAAAAAATGAATGCTGGTTTTTAAAAAAAATGTCAAATTGTACAAACCAAATGAAAGTAATATTTCGTTGCATGCCCTACAGGGAGGCCTCATTGCTTTACAAATCCTACCTTTGAGCTGACCGCTTTGAAAGCATCCGTAAATTAATACGGAACCAATTTGTACGAAAGAATGTTATTTGAACGGAAGTTTCTTCGATAGAACAAAAAATTCAAATAAAATTTATTAACTTTAAATTTTCCCCCCAAAATAGCTCACGCGTTTCTTTTAAAATTATCTTTTTTTTTTTTTTTTTTTTAAAATTAAAAAAAAAAAAAAAAAAAAAATAAACAAAAAAAATTAATTTAAAAAAAATTGGTTTATCATAAAAATCCAATAAAAAAAAAAAAAAAATATAAAAAAAAATTTATATAAAATTTTAAAAAAAAAAAAAAAAAAAAAATCGTTTGCAGTGACAGTTCTTGAATGACGTCAGGTTTAGAATGAAGGAATCGTGGGTGCTCGTTTCTGTGGCGCGTGTGGCTTGGGGTTCTTCGCGGAAGTCGGTCCGACGTTCGTAGTTGGATGGCCATGACCTCGCTGGTCCCTGACACATTCTTGGAGAAAGTCGGTGTTCTTCGGTCCGGCTATTATATTCACTGGGGAAAATAGAAATATGAAAGTATTTGAGACAAACAAAATGATTCATCCCGCAGTGCGTGATCTTCAAAGTTTATATCTAGAATTAAATCAACGTGTTCATTGCTTCTGGTGTTTAAAGGTTTAAAGATATTCAAACTGTTGAAAATGTGAGGGTTTTTTTGTTGTTGAGTTTTTGAAAACTAATTTTACAGGCTATTTTAAGAATAGAATCACTAGTCTATCTAAATTTTTATCCAAAAGACTTCAAACACTTCACCACATTAGGAACTCATTATTCTTTCTATTTCTACAGGTTGCTGTTAAAGGAAGGTACCATCAAGGGGAGTTATGTAGCCGTCCTGATGATTTGGGGTCAGTTGGGTGTCAGCATCCTCCCTCAGTTTCGTCCTTGACCTCTTCCCGTCACGTTTCCGTTTCACCAGGCAGATAACGACGAGGGTAACAATAACAAGGAGAGCAGCGCCACCACCAGCACCAACACCTATGGCTACATCTACGTCTGGCTGTTCTGGAAGTTGAAATATGGAATGGTTTTAAACAGTTTTACAAGAACGTTTTCCCCAAAAATTGAGGGAAAGAAACAACTTACCATGAAATGGCTTGTAATATTGTCTCGTAGTTTGGAAAATGTCCTCGAATGCTGCTATTTTTTACGATCACATGCCACTTAAAAAGATATTTGTCGAACACGATAAAATGAATGTCACAAAGCATTGTTAGACTTACTTTCGAATATTCTCGTTGTTATGGATTTCTCCTCTTTGATAACTTGTATTTTGACTTGAAATTCTCCAGCTTCATTCACGATACCCAGGATGTAGGTTGTAGTACCCTTGGTATTGGCGTCATAGATAGACACATTGACTAAGCCGAATGGTGGAGTCAAGTGGAGGTAGGTAATCGAATAGTTATCTTGTTCTACGTCGTGCGTGGAGTCCCTAGTTTCTATTTTTAGATAAAAACTTTGTGGTGCCGGGAAGCCGTAAATCTCAATGGTGAACAGTGTGTTTTCATTGGTGAAGAAATGCAAAGTTTTAAATGCGTCAGACGAGAACCGAGGATTCTGGCGACCTATATTGATAGAAATAACTTTTTAACATTTTTGAGGTAAAAAATTAATATTGTTTCATCAATAAATAGGTGTAATTTAAAATGCAAAGTTAAAATAATTTCGAGGTCATGAATGAGTTGCCATCAAATTTAATATTCTTTGTAGAAATTTTAAAAGACCTTACGGAATTCAAGGTAAATGACATATTATACCTTACAGGATTGGGGTGGGGGTGGTATTTTTCTCTTTGTGGAGTGTGGCATGTCCGCCAAACAGTATTTTTTTTTCGTGGAATGAAGGGGGCAAAATTGTTGGCTCGCCATGGGCGGCGATAACCCTAGCTACGCCACTCCCTATACTGAATATAACGTGCTCATTTCACGAAGACATTAGCGTCAAAATTAATTGTAAAAAATCTTTATCTACAATGACATATATTTGAAACATTAATCTCGCGAGAGTGTATTGGTCATATGCACCTTGTTAAGAATAAACTTTAAGACCTGTTTGTGTGCAAGGCAGTAGCGTGGCGTCAAGTGGGCAAGTGCATTAGTTACACCATGGGTTTGCGATCCATAACGGCCCAGGAGAGCCTGAACATGCTTTTATAATAATAATAGCTAGATATAGCGCGCCAAACATTGGTGGCAGCAAGCAATGCGTGGACTTCCAACCATGCACTAAAGTCACCTGACAAAACATGAACTCAAGTAACGCACATTTCAGAATCCCAATGTTTCGCTACACGCCTGAAATATGGTCTCTTCTACCAAAGTGGCTTAATGAGTGATTTCATGGAACTACTCTGCTCGTCTTGTACTGGCCCTCCCTGTTTTCAACAGAGCCCCATAAGTTGCGATGGAACGCCCAGCGGATATAACGGGACACTTTGGAGGAGTCTGGTATTCCATCTAAGAGCAACGTGTAAAATGTATTAGGTTACAATAGCCCAGCCCTAACTCCCCCCGCTAAGAGCTAAGTGTAACACCTATCATGTTATACTAATCCAGCTCCTACTCTCATTCCCTCTAAGAGAAAATTGTAACACATATCATGTTATACTAATCCAGCTCCTACTCTCATTCCCTCTAAGAGCAAAGTGTAACACATATCACGTTACACTAACCCAGCTCTTGCTCTCTCTCCTCATTTCAATACTATCTCTTGTCATTGACTCAGAAGTTGTCTTCCTCTATGGATGTATACGTCTAGTGATATCGAACATATCACAATCCTTTGGCTGCAAGGTTATGGTAGACTCTATCTCCAAGATAATCAAAGTCCTCCCACAGACACAGCTCACCCAGACGTGACAATCCTATGTCTAGTATAAAAAAATGGCCTAAACCATCGGTGAAATATGGTGTGCCCGGTGACAGTTGGTGCCGGGGTATGGGGAAAACAGTGAATCAAGCCTGTACGACACGCCTGGGTGATGAACCACCACTGGAGAATATGTCCTGTTCAATGCGTACACCCAGCGCTTGATCGCTGTATGGGGACACGAGGTGTCCTAGCTGCTCGATCTGGGTGAGAAGGAAAGCCACGGACAAAGCCAGGGTCAGTTTTGAAAAATACGTGTCATATTAAAAAGAAAGAAATTCCTATAATTGATCCACCTATTATACATATCATTGCTTTATCTGTGATAACTATCAATTGTTCCATCTGTTACTTTTATAATTGCTCCATCTTTTTTACCCATCATTCATCCAGCTGGTATACCTATCTTCGCTCCATATGTTATACACCTCATTGCTCCATCTGTTATTCCTATCTTTGCTCCATCTATTTTACCTATCATTGCTCCATCTGTTTTGCCTATCATTGCTCCATCTTTTTTACCTCTCATTGCTCCATCTGTTTCACCTATCATTGTTCGCTCTGTTACACCTATCAGTGATACATATGCTACACCTATCAATTATCCATCTGTTAAAGCTATCATTGCTCCATCTATATTACCTATCATTGCTCCATCTCTTTTACCTATCATTGCTCCATTGTGTTTTACCTATCATTGTTCCATCTGTTACACCTCATCAATGATACATATGCTTCACCTATCATTGATCAATCTGTTAAAGCTATCATTGATCCACCTGTTATTCATATCATTGATCCCCATGTTATACCTTTTATACTTGGAGTAGACAGAGGGCACCGTGCCTGCAACAAACATAGGACGCATCATGCTTGCAGCAGACAAGACGCGTCATGCTTGCAGAAGACAGGACACATCATGCTTGCAGCAGACAGGACACATCATGCTTGCAGCAGACAGGGCGCATCATGCTTGCAGCAGACAGGACGCATCATGCTTGCAACAGACAGGGCGCATCATGCTTGCAGCAAACAGGACGCATCATGCTTGCAGCAGACAAGGCGCATCATGCTTGCAGCAGACAGGACGCATCATGCTTGCAGCAGACAGGACGCAACATGCTTGCAGCAGTTGGAGGGCACTTTGTTTTGGACTAGCCAGGATGACGGAGCTTTAGCATCTACTCGTGTAATAGTTGAAAAATATAAACTGGATCTGGCAACACAAACATGTTGCTCGTGAAAGCTACGGGGAGATGTGCATAATTTATAGAAATAATTCCAGATGAACGAAATTCGAGATGTTTTTTTTAGCACATGGATCATGCACCATGACCCTTTGACCCTTTTTTTCTAAAAGCCACGCACCGGTGTCCTTACCTGGTACTTCAGCACAAACTGTCTTATCAATTATTTTCACGGTTCTGGATTTATCCTCGTTGCCAAGACCTCAATTTTTGAAACTCAGTGACGTAGAAATGCGGTATTTTGTGTGCATTCGGTGCGTACGTCGAGCGGCGCAGGAAATGAAAGCGTAGCACGGTGCGCAATGAGCGCGGGACGGACACAATCAACTCTGGAATTATTATTATAGATAATTAATTTAAATACATTTGTAGGGTTTAAACCGAAGTCATACAGTTTACCCAAAGTGTCACTACCAGAAGCGAATGAAGTTGCGGCTTTGGAGAGAAATCGTGAACCTGCTATGTAGAGGCCATGAACCCCCAAGGTAGTCCTAGACACTGGAGTAGGAACCCAGGCCCGCCATGTTACGCCACTTGACTCAGATGGTTTAAAAATAAAACTGTTTTAAGTATAGCAATAGAAGCACTAAAAAACATTTCATTTCAGTAACTTGCATATGATATTCACGTCCACGTAGTCCCTGGACGACGTAGCGTTGTCCTCAAATCCATTCCTTCCACTACAGAAGTATCTGCCCGAGTCCTCACATTCCAGATCATGGAGAGTTAACTGAAATACATCACTAGCAGACGTGAGCTCTTGAACCTTGCCTAGACCACTTCCTGTAAGAACCGCTTTAGCTGGAGGCTCAGCTTCAACTTGACAGTAGAATGTCACAGAATTGTTGACCTTGACAGTTACTGACCTTGATCCGTTTACTGTGAAATTAACGACTTGTGGCTCACCTATTGTATAAGAAAAATAATATATTTATATATCTATATTTATTTTATCGTACGTGATAGAAACTTATTATAATTATATTTTGAAATATTTATAGCTTGATTTGGACTTTTTAAATTGTTCAGATTTGTATTATAATAGAGTGACTCCCCAGGCACAACGTGGACAACAGTTGGGACCAAATGGCAGAGCCGGTGGCCACTCAACCGACCCAGACAGTCAATTGTTTTGCTGACGGCCAAAAGAGTTAGTTTTAAAGGATGTAAATAAGCTTTCATATAATCTCTCAGTCTTGACGCCGAACAAATTTCGGTTTCGACGGCAAAAGGTGCACAGTTTCGGCCCAAACAGGAAAGTTAACTTTCGGGTTATTTTCGGTCCGGTCGAAAAGGATTGAGGCTTTCGGTCGTCTACAAGTCGTTAGAATGTCACTCTGTGCATCGGCCGGCAATCCGATATTCATTACCGCGCAGAGGCGTAGCGAGGGGGATGGCGGGGGGGGGGGGGATGTCCCCGGGCGCAAGCTAGTTAGGGGCGCCAAAATGTGCTTTGATATTATATTATTGGTAAAAATAATGGGTTTGAGAGTTGAAAAAAAAGAAAAGGGGGCGCTTTAAAATGGATCTTGTCCCCGGGCGCGAATCTTGTCCCCGGGCGCCAAACACCCTCGCTTCGCCTCTGTTACCGCGTGATTTCATGCTGTCATCGTTTGATGTATTATGACTAACCCACTGCAAACACTGCTCACAGCTTCATCTTGACCTACGTGTCCAATATTTCCAAAAATAAAATTTCAGTTAGGCTAAGGCTAAGGTAAATAGTTTTGTGGAAAGAAAACCCTGGGTGGAATGGTAACATTTTAGACTACATACTTATTTTTTGTTTGATTTTTGTTCAACAATAAAATTTAGGAACCGTAGGATTACTCCATTCATTCACTCGTGGCATTCATTTTGATTTAGCATTATCCTGCTCATCAATGTTGTCCAAGGCAGAGTATTTTTTGAAAATAAAATCCTCAGGGGTGGTTCAATTATTATTATTATTTTTAATTTTTAAAAATATAAATAATAAAATTAGGAAAACTTAGGCTAATTTAATTCATTCATTTTTTTGAAATCCTTCATCATCGAAGATAAACACTGTCACTGACGCAATATAAATGCTGTACACATTTAGTCATGTGTTTTGACACTAATGTGCAGAAAGAGAATGATGAAACCGTTAGTACTTTAAAAACTATATTTTTTAATTAACTTCAATTTTGTATAATTAGGCATATAATAACCTTTAATTTACACCATAAGCCTACATACATTTGAATACTTCCTTCAAGACTGTGTCTTGTCATTTTAGTGGACCATACAAATAACAAAAAAATGCATGGGCTAAGCTTGCGATCGATACCGTATATTCTGTCTAGGCGGTGTTATAATTATATTATAAAAACAAAGGGCATCCAAGGTCTATTTTACATGAAGGTGCCCGCCCCCCCCCCTCCCCCCAATTAAGTCAAAATTCGCTCTCACCATACTACTTTAAAAAACATTTTAAACACATTTAAATTATTATTATTTCAAAAGGTAAAAACCAAAGTATTCTTTTGATGATTATTTATTAAAATTTACGATCATCATATTTTTTATTTTTAAAAAATAGAATATAAATATCGATTATTTTCTCTTTCATTTTTCGACCTACTCAGAACGTATGCGCGAACGAGTTCCGAAATAGCTAAATCTTTCGGCTTTTAGCGAAAGTCTCGTTAAGCCCAAGACAATCAGGGACTGGAACAATCTTTCAAAAGGAACGGTTGAGGCGACAACACTAGACACATTTGTGTCTATTGCCTCAAGCCTTCAAACCCCCAGTGCATGATTCCCTCACAAAGTGGCACTGGAAATCTGTGAAATTTCCTCATCAACACCAGGAACAGAAACATTGCAAATCCCATCTACATGCATAGGAGCCAAAATGATCAATAAATTGATCGTGGGCCCTTAAGATATAGAAGAAGAAGAAGAAGAAGCTTTTGGTTTCGTCTTAGCTTTCGACCGAAAGTCATTTCAACGTTCTCGTTTTTTGTTTCGGTTTGGGTCGAAATCAGACAATCAGATTCGGTCCGTCTCTGTCTACCAAAACTTTTCAGGATCAATGAGGACAAAACAATCCTTCAGTGTTTGAACTGAGTGTCAAATATAGATCGGAATTATTGTTTTTTTTTCATTGCATTCTTCATCCCCTATTTTCTTTACACAGAAGCCGGTTGATATTATTTTTTTGTTATTTGAAATGAGATGTAGTAAAGGAATGACTTCCCACCCTTCCTTCCCCCCCCCCCCCAGACATTACATATTTTCGGCAAACTTGACCTCCTAGACAAGGGATGGCCAAACCGCGATCAGTTTCCCGGCGGGACTCAGGGTGCCTGGTGTATTAACAATTTCTTTTCAGTTTCTCTCTTTTCATTTTTTATTATAAACGAAATTTGAAATTAATGAACCATAGGTTTTCCTTGTAAAGTATCATTTAAATTAATCTATCAAATGTAAATCCGTGTTTGTGTATCGAATTGTGTGCAATATATATATATATATATATATTAAATCTGTACTTCGTCTTTAGGAGTTAGTTTTATAACTTAGGCGCACATTTTCACGTGGCCCGTAAATTGTCTAATGATCCAAATATCCCGGATGGCCCTCAGAGTAGCATCCCACCCCTCCCCCGCCCCGGTCTCGACTATTCCATAATAAATACAAAAATAAAGGTATTTATATCTATAGTATACAAAGTCAGTCTGATAACACGTGACACACACGCCCAAAAAAAAAGGAAAACTATTCTCCCATGAGCCTCTCCAACTTACTGTAAAATTTAGTTGCAAACACTGCTTTTTCGCCCATCTGCACCAAGCCCGCCACAAAAGCACACGAGAACGTTGCTTGAGAACCTGAAAGACGTAGCAACTCTTTTAAAACAAGTCCATTTTTTTAAAGGAATTTTTTTAAATATATTTTTTACTGAAACATTTCACATTGCCAATAGTTAGACTGATAGTCTCAAAGTTGTATAGATACTGTGGAGAGTCGGACCACGCACGAGCGCCGGACCACGACGGCGCCTGACGTAATCCGTCTGACCGGAGGATCAAGCTTGTGGAGCACGATCGGACCACGCACGAGCGCCGGACCACGACGGCGCCTGACGTAATCCGTCTGACCGGAGGATCAAGCTTGTGGAGCACGACGGATCCAAGGATGTTTGTGACCACCCAAGCTTGTGGAGAGTCGGACCCACGACGGCGCCTGACGTAATCCGTCTGATCGAAGGATCAAGCTTGTGGAGCACGACGGACCCAAGGATCAAACGCCTGACCAATTACGGCCGTCTGACACCCAGACACGACCATCCATCTGACCAGGGCATTTACCTGGGACGTCTAGACCGACAATTGAGAAAAAGGGGGCGGGGTATAATCTGGACTGGGAGAGGAACTATGGGACGGGGTGGTATAAATAGGGGAAAAGGCGGACGGACGGGGATCTAGAGAGCAGGGAGAATTCGGAGAAGTCGGAGCTGTGAGATGAGTGAAAGAGTAAGCAAGTGATAGATCAAATAAAGAACACGAGTTTAATGATCCAATGTATCACCGGAGTTGTTTACTTATTGAGTACCAGATCTAGATGAAGTTTGTCAGAGAGTAAGCAAGGTTCCTTACAATACTTTGAAGGTATTTTTCTCCTCACAAACAAGGTCTCAAATACTGCATGCGTCTATGTGTGTTCAATAATGTCTAAAATAGTGTATGCATTTATGTGTACAAAAAATGCCTCAAATAGTGTATGCATTTATGTGTGTACAAACAATGTCTCAAACAGTGTCTGAATTTATGTGTGTACAAACAATTCCTCAAATAGTGTATGCATTTCTCTGTGTTTGAACAATGTCTCAAATAGTGTATGTGTCTATGTGTGTACGAAAAATTTCTCAAATAGTGTATGCATTGCTCTGTGTACGAACAATGTCTCAAATAGTGTATGTATCTATGTGTGTACGAACAATGTCTCAAATAGCGTATGCATATCCCATGTGTGTAAAAACAACGTCTGGTTTACTTCAGGCAACTTTGTGTGTCTAATGTCATACATTTTTGGCATTTGAGGAATCAAACTAGCGACAATACTGTTTTGCTAAGTCGATCGTTTAAGGATGCTACACAGTTTTATAAGCATACAAAAATAAGAGTTTTCAATCTGAAGTCCTCACACACAAAAATTTTAGGGGCCCATTTAATGCATGTCTGCGTTTTCCTTGGCAAATATATTAGTTTATTTTGGATTACACTTGTTTCATGACACTATCACATGGAACAGAAGTCATTAAACAGGAGAAGTCATTAAAAAGGGGAATTCATTTAACAGGAGAATTCATTAAACAGGTTAGCGAGTTCTCGGTCACTCTGAGCATTGAAATATTTCTTTTTCGTATTCATCCTGCATGATTTAATGATGTCACCAAAGGGGGGGGGGTGTGATGGCGAAGGGTTTTGTTTTTGTTATGTGTTGGTGTTAATGTGTTAATGTGTTAATGTGTGTTTAATATATTTTACGACTTTAGAAATACAACCGCTTTTGAAAAAAAAAAGCAACTTAATCCATACTTTATTGTAAATATATAGGGTTTAATGCATGATGATGGATGGTTTAAATTTTAAACAACACTGCCAAACTTGGGTATAGTTTGAAACAATAACATAAAGTTACAAAAAAATTAGGTCTAGCTGAGGAATAAAGTATGGCTCAAGTCAAAGGTTAGAGTCCGATAACGTATCTAGTTTGAGCATACCCTGTGTGGAGTTATAGGACACGTTGAGGACGTCACCATTCTCGTTGGTCTCTACTGGCTGGCCCTCATTCCCGAACCAATACAGCTGCCCAGTTAAGAGCGTCAGCGCCTGAATGTCACACTCGCACGTGGCAGTGGCCCCACGTCTGATAAAACCATTCTTAACATCTTCACCGTAGGGACAGTTTTCTGATAGTATCGCACCCGGAACGCCTGGATGAAATCAAATTGGTCTTGAAATTAACAAAATCATCTTTCTAAGTTTATTTCCAGCTGATAAGTTCTTTTGTTTTTGGTTAAAGAAACAAAACAAAAAAAAATAAGTTATTTTTCATCCGTTTTCACACGTGCTTATCTTAATGTTGTGCCCTGTTATGGTTAAAACTGCGTTCAATCAATTTTTTCCTTTGTTATTCAATTAAGTGGGAAAAAAATCTAATTTAACTGTAATGCATGAAAAAGTACATTGTATTAGTGTAGAGTTTAAACCAGGCCACTGCAATCAAAGGACGCATCTTCTCCAGACAGAAATTAGCATTAATTTTTTTATATATTTTTTTTAAAATTAGTTGTTTTTTTTTAAAGCAATGACCTGAAAAGGGAAAAGTTTTCATGTTTATTATCTAAACTTTGACAACTTACTTGAATCCCATGATGCATGATCCACTTTGCAGAAGTCAAGGGAGTCTACCCAACTGATGTCAAAGGATGCCATCTTCATTAGCCAATCACGTCTGTTGGGCGTGCTAACTACCACGGAGTACGTTATCTTTAATGGCTCATTTCCTTCTAGTAAACTTGTCTGCTAAAGATTGCATATAGTTTACCAACATTCAAATAATTCAATCCAATTGGCGTGCATATCGATCCGTTCAGCTGCGTGCGTATCCATATTTTTTTAAAACCCCCCGGTCATTCATAAGGGATGACCATTCAGTTAATAACCAACCCATCCATCGATCCATAAATTTATTATTCCACTCTTAAAATCAGAAATCAACAATCTATGGATTTATCCGTAAAACCAATTTATTCTAACCATTAAGATTTCTTTCTTTTTTACCTGCACGTAACAATCAACTCATCCACACACCTACAAACATTTCAACATATCAAATGGATGAATCGATCAGTCAATAATATGCCAGATCTGGGATCGATCTATAGCTTAGCCCATGTATTTTTTTTTCAATAGCCCACTGAAATGTCAAGACATAAGCCTTGAAGGAAAACTTTGTTAAGTCTAAACCAGAGATTTTCGTAGAAACACGCCTTGGTCGACATTGAAATGTTTCGTTTATCGGCAATTATTATTGATCGCCTAATTTTGTATTTGTCTTAGATGAAACAAGAACTGAACCGAATGTTGAACTACGTTTAGGACGGTAATACAGAGTAGGCCTGTTACATAATGATTATTATTATACAAAACAGTTATTGTACGCACACGTGAGTTATTTCTTTAATGGCGATGTTTATCAGCATGATCAGGATGAGTTTCAATAAAGGAATGAATTGAATAAACCTAGGCTTCCCAAATTATATTTTTGAAAACATCAAAACAAAAATAATATATAAATATGACTATTACCATAGTTTTTTTCCTCAAAACTATTTCAATTTGCCTAATAAGTCTAATTGAAAATTTTAATTTTGGTCATATTAGAGCAAGTCGTAACCGGAAATTTGTTTGAAAGAAATTTGGTTGACGGAAAATTAATCGACGGAAGTTTGGTCGAACGGGTTTTTAAATTCACAAGATCTAATTTTGCGTCATTTTTTTTATTCAAGGCATTATTTTGTTTTACGGTATAGTACTAGAATAAAATGACCCGATGTTATCGGGATAATAATGGTACATCCTTTGCGATAATTTCTAACTGTTATTACAAAAACTCATCACAATTCATAACATTGAAAATGTAATGATATTTACGTTTCTAACATCATTAAGTTTTGAAAAGTATTTATCTGCTATATATTATAGGCCTACCCTACTCTTTTTCACGCACCTAAACTACATTTCCCCCCTCTAAACATGACTTTAAATTACAAAGTCTAAATTATCGAACGAACATACACATATTTGTAAAAAGAAAATGAAACATCTCTTTTTCCCAAATGTAATGTCATAGGATTTAAATATATTGTCATTTTACGTGAAAATTTACACATCCTATTTCTTACCTCCGAAATGTATGTAGCCAAGAAGGTTAATTATTTATCAAATTAATTCCTTTATTTTGAGACGTATCTTGTGCTGCCTGGGGCAAAGTAACCAACCCCTCCCCCACCCAGATTTAAATAAATTGTGAAAAATCTTCCACCGGAATGTAGTCCTTTCCATACTCAACCTTAAATAATTTGCACTTCATTTGGTTCTTTCTTTTTTTGTTTTAGTTATAAGTGGATTAGTTAATGCTATTTGGCTATGGAGTTGCACTGTACTGCTTGACTTAAACTGCATTTCATATTAGAATTATATTTAAAGGTTAGTTTTTATTACGTTATAATTTTAATAAAGTTATATTTTTGGAATAAGAAAAAGGCAAAACATTTTAAGTTTTAAAATATACACAGCTGAAATGTGTGTGTGTGTGTTTGTGTGTGTGTGTGTGTGTGTGTGTGTGTGTGTGTGTGTGTGTGTTATTAACAATTTAGAAAGCAATCCACTGTATTTATTAATTTTAGGGGAAATTCATGATCAGTTTTGTCCCTCACGGTTATTAAATTTAAAGAAACCTAAGAGTTTTGGAGAAATAAGCTATTCGCGCTATGACGTCATTTGCGTGATCATTTAGAACAAATTAATTTAAAATTTTATTTTCGCAATATTAATAACGCACTAAAAGACGCACTAAAAAACGACTGATGTGTGGGTTGTCCCGATAAATGTGATCACGGTGTAATTCTTTGATCATGATTTTTTAAATTGTTTTTATTTTTTCATAACTTTTTTTTCCGTTCGACCAGACTTCCGTCGATCAAGTTTTTATCTGTGTATGACGAAGCGGGGTGGGCATTGCATAGACTTATTTTTAAAACATACAATTACAACTGTAACACTTAGTAAACTTACTTGTTACTTTTTTTTAAAATTAGAATAAAATAATAAAGTATTGGAACGAGTGTGATGTTAGTCAAGAAATTACAAATTAATTTCAAAATTTATGTAACACATTTAAAAAGTCAAAGGCTCCTTTGTCCTTAAACAAAAACAATCACTCATTCTTGCAATCCCGGAAAGGCTACCTTGCAAATCTCATCCACATGGGAAACCCTTTTGTTCAAATGATTGACAATAATATTGACTTACTGAAATGACGGTGTTCTCCGGCCCAAGGTTATACAGTTGGAAAAATTCAAAGTATTTATTACTCGTTACGTGTAGGACTGCCGTAGTCGTGTTAATCTCTTCGATTCGGGTCTCGAGGGTGACAGGGTTGTCTGAAAGACACAATGGCATGCTGCATTTTGGTCGTTGCTATAAATAGACTCTGGCCTCGCTTTGATTTCTTAACTAATTTATAATAATTTCTTACATTAGCTTGAGCAGCTTCGGCTTCTTCAACAGTTTTTTCCAGCTCTGTCTCGTTGCATGTCCTCGCTGTATCTCTTTATGAGGAGAACTAGAGAGAGGGAGAGAGAGAGAGAGAGAGAGAGAGAGAGAGAGAGAGAGAGGGAGAAAGAAGATAGAGAGGGGGAAGAGAATATAGAGAGAGAGAGTGAAGGAGAGGGAAGAAAGAGGGAGAAAGAGGGGGTGTGAAGAGAGAGAATAGTGTCTTCTATGTATATTCCCTCTCTGTTTTCTATTTGAGATGAGAGGGAAAAGCTTAGAACGATATATACCAGCTCGGCCACCCATGCTACCTACCACAAGTAGTAATATTAGGGTAGCCACACTTTAAAAAAAGAAAGTATCACCTTACCCACACTATCACAAGTATAGGAGCAGTTCAGTCCCGGGATAAAGATGTGGAGCTTGTCGTTAGGGCTTGCCGGGATTTGAGTTTTGTAAAACGTGGAGGAAACCTGTCTCACGGCCTTTCGTGTTGCTAATGTCAAATTAAAATCGGAATAGTACATGTTGTACAGATGAACATCGCCCACGGTGAGTTGGCTGGTGGTCACATTTAAATTGTATTCTGTGAAGGTTTTCAATCTTTCAGAATAAATGTCTGCCAAGAGAAAGGAGAAAATCGTGAAATTAATTATGTCTGTGTAGAAATCTGCTCACCACAGAACTTATAAACACTTTTTAAAAACAAACACACACAAAAAAACCAACCTGAAACATTATATGAATATTTCAAAACTAAATGAATAGAGACAAATACTACAAACTTATTTAAAAATCTTAGGGGCATTGCCCTCATGGCTGAATGTAAGCTTTCGACAAGTGTACCGAACAACGGTGACATAATGACTGAGGTAGACTGTTTATTAGACTGTTTATTAGACTGTTTATTAGACTGTTTATTAGACTGTTTATTAATTAGACTGTTTATTAGACTGTTTATTAGACTGTTTATTAGACTGTTTATTAGACTGTTTATTAGAGCGGTGTTGTCCCAACCTTTTTGTGTGGGGGGTGGGGGGGGGGGGGGGGGGGGGGAACTGTTTAGAATCAGTTTCTATGGGAAGACCCTAGGCCTAGGCCTACTCTATATCTTTGCAGTTGGTGCTTTGGGAGTTTTATGGGGTGGTGTGGATTCCCCTGAGAATGGCACACGGACCCCGCGGAGCACAGTTTGGGAGCAACTGCATTATAAGAAAAACAAACAATCATTCTACAGTGGTACTTCGAATTAGAGGATAACGTTGAAGTTCAATGAGTTGTAATTCAGTTTCCTGATTTAACGCTATCAGACTTTAACAATATGTGGAGTACTGCAGAATGTCGTCTATGGTAGAGAATCAACTACTCTTGCAGGGCTTAGAGAAGAAAAGAAAAATGAATGTGTAGCAATCGCACAGGACAATTACATCAAGTATGTGAAACTCTTACATTGGCATGTAAAACTCTTACATTAGCATATAAAACTCTTACAGTATGTATGTGAAACTCTAACATTGGGTATGTGAAACTCTTACATTGGATATGTGAAACTCTTACATTGGGGATGTGAAACTTTTACATTGGGTTGTCTACCATCTTTTCCGGCAAGCTATTATCTCCTAGATGTATATTGGCCTGTGTTGTATATGGTTGCAAGGGATGAAAGACTTAGAATGGGTATTCTCGTATGTAGTTTTTTTTTTAATGTTGCGTTTTGTATTTCAATGTTGGGCATGTGAAACTCTTACACTGGGTATGTGAAACTCTTACATTGGGGAGATGAAACTCTTACATTGGGTATGTGAAACTCTCACATTGGGTATGTGAAACTCTTACATTGAGTATGTGAAACTCTTACATTGAGTATGTGAAACTCTTACATTGGATATGTGAAACTCTTACATTGGATATGTGAATATCTTACATTTGGTATGTGAAACTCTTACATTGGGTATGTGAGACTCCTACATTGGGTAGGTGAAACTCTTAAATTGGGTATGTGAAACTCTTACATTGGGTATGTGAGACTCTTACATTGGGTTTGTGAATCTCTTACATTACATGGGTATGTGAAACTCTTACACTGGATATGTGAAACTCCTACATTGGGTATGTGAAACTCTTACATTGGGTATGTGAAACTCTTACATTGGGTATGTGAAACTCCTACATTGGGTATGTGAAACTCCTACATTGGGTATGTGAAACTCTTACATTGGGTATGTGAAACTCTTACATTGGGT